CAGAAGTTTGTATCTAAGCTTATGGGGTTTGATTTCGAAATAATCTATCGACTGGGTCGACAGAATGCAGTAGCTGACGCACTATCCCGATGAACGGATGTAGCCGAGCTGAATGCTATCACTGGGCCAGCTTGGACTATTTGGGAGGAAATCAGGAAGGCGCAAGTAGAGGACACCTATTGCCAGGAGCTGCGCCAATTGATAGAAGCAGGTAAGACGACTGATATCGACTACGAGTTGCATAAAGGTCTGCTTCTACACCGAGGTCGAGTCTACGTTCCCAACAGTGGGCAGTTACGTGAGCAGATCATGCAGCACTTCCATGACTCTAAAATTGGAGGCCACTCGGGTATCTATCGCACGTGGATGAGAATAGCCAACACTTTCTTCTGGCCCGGACAACAGAGTACCATCCGAGACTACATAGCACGATGCGATGATTGCCAGCGCACTAAGTCTGACTCACGACGATCGAGCGGGCTGTTGCAACCACTACCAGTACGCGAAGCAATCTGGGAAGACATTACTATGGATTTCATCGATGGGTTACCGAGTTCCAATGGGTTTGACGGTGTTATGGTTGTAGTGGATCGTCTCACAAGGTATTCTCACTTCATACCAATTACCCATCCTTACACCGCAAAGTCGATTGGCAGGTTATTTGTGGAGTATGTGATGAAACTGCATGGAGCACCGCGATCCATTGTCTCTGATCGAGATCGGATTTTCATGAGCAGCTTTTGGTCTGAATTCTTCAAATTGCAAGGGAATAAGTTGTCTATGAGCTCGGCCTACCACCCACAGACAGACGGACAAACGGAGGTAACTAACCGAACCCTTGAGCAGTATTTGAGATGCTACGTCCATCAATTCCCAAAGCGGTGGGAAAACATTTTGCCCTGGGCTGAGTATTGGTACAACACCACTTACCACGAGTCGACCAAGATGACGCCATTTGAGTTGGTATACGGGCGAAAACCCCCAACACTGATTAATTATTCGGAGGGGAGTACAGTCGATGACGAGGTTGGTCGAGAACTATAGGAACGAGATCTGATGTTGCGAAAATTGAAGAAAAATCTCGAAGGCTCAATTAATCGAACCAAAGCCTTCGCAGATGGGAAAAGACATGAGGAAAATTTTGTACCATGCGAGTATGTCTACCTGAAGCTACGACCATTCAGACAACGCACCACAGCACAAAGATCCGCAAATAAACTGGGCGTTCGCTATTATGGGCCTTATCAGATTCTGAAGCGCATTGGTCAGGTAGCTTACCATCTAGAGTTACCGGAAAGTTCACAAATCCACCCAGTTATCCATGTCTCGCAACTCAAGAGGAGCCTAGGAGAAGCGCAGAAGTATTGCGAGGAGTTACCAGCAACCGCAGCCGATGGCAGGGCCATAGTACGCCCAAAACGAGCGATTGAGTACCGTAAGGTAAAGAGAGCAGGGCGCTACC